TTTTTTAATTTATTTGCTCTTGAAGCGACACTCCAGAGCCGATTCATCCGGGGCCGATCCGGAGTGTCTCTGTGAACAGCATCGAATCTGGATTTGGATGAATTCGCCACCAGCGGCGGCTGAGCAGCTTCAATAGATAATTGCTCTCCTTTTCTTATCTCCAATGCAATGCTCTTGAAGCGACACTCCAGAGCCAATTCATCCGGGGCCGATCTGGAGTGTCTCTGTGAACAGCATCGAATCTGGATTTGGATGAATTCGCCACCAGCGGCGGCTGAGCAGCTTCAATAGATAATTGCTCTCCTTTTCTTATCTCCAATGCAATTTTTTTTTCAATGAAACCGCACGATCCGAGGGATAGAAGAGCCCTGCAGGCGCCCGGACCTCTGCTCCCATCGACAGGAGTTTGCAACCGAGCCGCCTTTCCGCAAATCCCAATTTTCACGTAAAAACGAGCTATTTCGGGGAAGCTTTTTCCTTCCAAAAAGATGGGGATAAGATTAAAAACCCCACCCCGCAGCCCTGCCAGCGGCTTGCTGCCTTCGATGTGCATTTGTGTAATTGAGATTAAATTAAAGCCACTTCATTAATTGGCTTGCACGGTTGCTATAAGGTGGGAAAGGGGATGCGCAGCACCCCAAAAATGCAATTTAAGTGGCTTTACTGGCGCCGGGCTGGCCTGGGTGCCGCTCGCTGCAGGTTAGCTCCGAGCAAATGAGGGGTTTTGTCCAAAAATAGGCCAATGCAGCACATTATTCGAGGCTCTTTCCTACCCTCTAGCGATGAACCAAAGGTATTTAACAGCCCAGGCGAGGAGTCCCCGGGGAGGAAGGCTCTCGGCAAGCTGCAGCCTTGGCCTCAGCTGGAGCCAAGGAAAATAAACCCCAAAATCAAGCTGATAAAGGAGGGGGCTCTTGCATGAATGGGGTTTGGAGGGGATCAGCTCGGTTTATAGCACCAAAAAGGCGATTTTTTTTTTTGAAGCCAAAAGCTCTAAGGGGTCCCTGGTGCATCCCGGCGTCAGACCCTTCTCCCGCAGCCCCTGAGCGCAACCACCCTCCGAGCAAACCCTTTGCTGTGGCATCAACCCCTCACCAGGACCGTTTCCCACGTGTTTTCCCCCAAACCGAGCCCCTCTTGCATTCATCCTGGCAAGGCAAAATAGCATTTTTTTCCCCCTCTGGGCTGCAAGGGTGGGGATGAAATAATGGGGGGGGGGAAATGGTGCTTTTATCACCATTTTAGCAGCCAGCACCTCTCGCTGGCTTGAAGAACCTCCTGCTCCCTGTTTTTTTGGGGTGTCCCCCCCAAAAGCCTGTCCGAAAGCATGCACGGGGGTGCCCTCACCGTTGCTTCTTGGGTAGGCGGCCACGGTCCCATCCTGCAACCCCGCAAACAGGTACTCGGGGCTGTGCTTCAAGCAGAGGACGGGTTGCATGCCCGGGCTTTTGCAGGTCAACAAGCACTGCGTCCCCGTGTCCACGCTGCCGTAGACCGTGATGCTGGGGAGGGAACGGGGAGATGCTGGAGATCGTGCCGGTCCTCAAGGTTTGGTGCTGGTGATCGCACCGAAGGGTGGATGCGGAAGACGCGGGCTCACCTGCCATCCCCCAACCCCAAGCCCACG